TGAGGCGATTTGATTTTCGCCATTTTGGCGCTGACAGCAGAAGTTAACGTCCACGGAACTAATAATAGAGATAAGACCGTGTGAAAAAATATATCGATAAAAATTCTATACTCAGGCCTACCCGTAACATCTATTCTATTTATGTATCATATTAATATAATGCATAACAATAAATAAATGTATCAATTAATACCTAGACCTTAGACGCAAGCTTTATACTTCATATAAAACAAGAATCGACGCTGCGTTGATTTATCAACGTTTTTATTCGTAACTACAGAACGGATTTTGTTCCGGGTTTTAAATGAGAAAATGCCTACGCAAACCTGCATTGCGGAGGCAAGAACAGATTATGTCGGACTTGCACCTCTAAAACCCCATGATGTTCCATCTTCACTACACATTGACAGGGCCACGGAAACACTTTCAAGCACATCCGTGGCCCCACCAGCGAGGACCCCTCCTTAGTTGAGGACTTCCCTTCACAACATCTGGAGCCCGATATGTGGAGGCCATGGAACCAAGAAAAAACGAGCACTCGGAAGCACCAAGTGGAACACTCCCACCAAAGTCGCGGAGGATAGTTGAGTGGCGCATTACCATACCAAAAATCCTCTTCCCTTACAACACCACCTCGGCTGCAGCGATATAGAGAGAGGATTCTCCTTTAGCCGCAACTCACTAACACACATCCAAGTAAGTAAGAGTAGCCACCTTGGGCCAGCCCTTCACTTCGGGCCAGCCATCTGAGTCGCCCTACGTTTACCATGGGTTAACAAGCCACGGCTACTAACCCCCCTCACCCGCTACGACAAGGTGGGAATCCGTTCAGGTTGGAGTTATTTTTCACCTAAACTTACGCAAACTCATTAAGGACATTAATAATTTTGCAGTTCCAATATAAATTTTTTGTACGTGGTAGAGCCATGCTGCAGCTATATTACTGGTATGGTTGTAGCACGAATGGTTCGGCTGGACCAAGGAAGGACCACGCTCTCAGAGAATACCAGCGTAAAATAGTAGCTTAACGCTGCTGTGTTTCGTATGGTGAGTGTAGAGAACCGGAGACCCCTTTTTACTGGAAACGAGGCATTCCATCTTAGTCCTCACGGGTGACAACGCATCTGCATTTTGATTCGTAATCGAAGATAGATGTAGATTTCTATGGGCCACAGCAACCACTTACCATCAGGTGGACTGTGTGCTCGTTTGTCACCCCTATCCTATAAAAAAATTATTCCCTTGATGCAATAAGTTGGTCATAATAATTATACAGATTTAACAAACTTACGTCTTGTAAACACAAAGTCATCATCAGGCGACTTTTCTAGACTTGGCTATGGCCCTTGAGTCTGGGGGAAAATAAGGAGAGAAGAAATAAACAACATTCGAAATAATAATCTAATACTTTTTGTTCGCGCCAAACGCTAATGTCAAGAATCGACGCCCAGGGGGCGCGCAGAGCGGTGATTTCCTACCGTTTGAAGTTCGCGCGAGACCGGATTGGTTGCTTGTGGGGCGGGTCGGAAGTGATAATGCAGTGCAGTCACTAGCACAGCGTGAGTCGTCCGGTGTAACCTCTATTAGTGTCGGTTTGTTAGCAAATTTATGCAACGACGAGGAATATGTGGAGTCTTGAAAAATAGACGCCGGGTCGATTGTTTGAAAGTTAATGTTTAACTGTACCGTCGCGTTAAGTGCCTTTGTGTGTTGTCTATGTAGTTTTTTGCGTGCCAACTAGGCTGACTTGGAATCTTAATGCGGGTGTAGTATTTAATATCTTATAATCTTGTTGCTACGTGAAACGGAAGTGACCTTTGATCCACCGTTCATTAGTCGTGCCGTGTGTTACGTTTTTGATTGCGATTAACGGAGATTTAGTTGAGTTTGAAGTTAATTAAATATACAATAAAGTTGATGGATTGAAATAGTGTACAATAAAGTTGATAAACTGAAATAGTGAAAGGAAGAAAGAAGTCAATTGGTGATCGCCCCCTTTTGAGATATCTCACCTTTGGAGTAGAGGCAGCGCCTGTGGATCTGCGGTCAGACTTCAACGGTCCAGTCAGGTCAAACTTTATACACACCATTAAACACCACTTTACATGCACCTACACCTACCTACGGCCTGACCGAGCCTTGGGGCAGTCTTCGCCTCGGAACCAGGTACGTTCTATTTATTTACCTAGCCTATCTCTATTGTGTAGGTCAATTGTCCATAGGCCGTTGGGCCCCGCCCCCTGCTGCTCGTCGAATCTACAGCTGCATGGGCCCCTGTATGGTCGATCTTTGTTGGGGCAGCTAGGCGTGTACACTTTTATACTTACTGGTACTGGTACTACCAGAAAATATTGTGGATATAGTACACTTTTTCAAAGTGGTGTGTTTCTCATGCCTAATAAAACAGACGTCTGTGAAGTGTTTAGAACAGAGATAATAATTTTGTTTCGGACGCTATTTCACAATTTTTGTGCTTTTTAGCCGTAATTTTAGTTTAGGTTCTAGTTCTAGGTAGGTTGGTTGTGAACAGATATGGGTAGAATAGAACATCGACAAGTATTATAGACAAGGAACTCATCAACCTATACATACTATACATACGGGGTAGAGCCATGCTGCAGCTATATTAGTAGTATAATTGTAGCACGAATGAGTCGGCTCGACCGGGGAAGGACCACGCTCTCACAGAATACCAGCGTAAAATAGCAGCTTAACACTGCTATGTTTCGTATGGTGAGTATAGAGAGCCGGAGACCCTTTTCAATGAAAAAAGGCATTCCATCTTAGTCCTTACGGGTGACAACACATCTGCATTTTGATTCTTTATTGAGGATAGATGTAGATGTCTATGGGTCACAGCAACCCACAGATATAAGAAAGAAAAAGATATGCCCGACAGTTGAAAATGTATCGGAACCTAGTGTCTCCAGTTGGCCCCTACCACACGCCAACTACTACACATGCATCAGTAAAAGCAAATAGATAAATATACAATAGCTAGTATACTAATACTAATATATATAAAGTACTACACAATCAATTATAAACCTTATTCTTATTAACAGAGCATGCATTTACCACACACCATACTACTTACTCCTTTAGCTATAGATAACCTATGTTAGTGGAGCACATCATTAACGCGTCGCAAGATAGAGCAGCTGTACTACGCGATGCATTCGCATAAATAAAGTATCGATTGTGATTGCTTGTTCAGTCACTTAGCGACATACTTAGGTAGTAGTTAAGGAGCAATGTATTTACTCCAAAACAGTACAGTACAGCTGTGATATTTTAAAACAAAAATAACGCAAGAATACTTTATGATCTGTTGTTTTTCATATTTTTAAAGATAAATATAGTAAAATACATATGCTAAGTGATTCCATGATTTACAAAGTTTTTGTTTTGGCTTCGGTTTTTACAAGAAACTATTGTACAATACTGCATTCTGATAATGTTTCACGATGACAGTCGAAAGTGCATTACTTCGCAGGAACGGACATTTGCATAGATCATTGGTATCAATTAGCATTTTGATCATAGCGCGCGAACACAAACAGGTCCCCTTGCCACTCCTTCTCTTTTTTATATTTCTATGCAGCAACCACTTACCATCAGATGGACTGTGTGCTTGTTTTGTCACCCTTATCCTATAAAAATATGGGTTAGTTTTAGGATAAAATCGGTGTTTTCTTATCGAAATATTACATATCGATGAAAAGAAATATCATAGTTCTTCTTATTTTGCTTCAGTGAAACATTTTTGCAGCTGGGCACTGCACATTTCACCATGATATCTAAAAATTCTATAAAATATCGCCGAGAGAAATAACGCGTGTGGCCTTTCGTGACTAATAACGTCGTCCTGGCCTTTTAGAGACTGTTCTAGCGCGTGTTTACACTTCTGACTTTTAGTGCTATATATATATAGTGCGTAAATACTCTAAGGGCAATCCTATTTAAACAAAATTCTTGTATTTGGACGTTGAAAACCTTGTGCATCAGAATAATACCTATACTAGTGATGTGTCCGTCACTAGTGAGTTACGAATATAAAATCATGCTCACTTTTTATCACTCGATTTTTCACTGGACGCAACCAGTACTGCAAATTTTATTTTCGTTCACTAATGGCGCTTATCAGTAACAACTACAGACATCAAATAAATACAACAACTGTGTTAACAACCTTTCTTGCTTTCCAAAAAACTCTTTCGGAAGGATGCAACTCGCCTTGTGAGGTAATTTATGTTTCACACGATCTTGCTAGATTCAAAGCATAGCATGCATGATGCGCAACCGCTTTAATATACATTAGACTTATTCAATAACCATCAGCATAATTCGTAAAGTAGTGGAGCATCTGCAAGTAATTAACAATAATTATTAACATACATCAAGCCTACATAATGTCGTTATACATAGTGCTACGTGCATGGCCTTGACGGAATGTATAGCAACCGTGTGGTTGGGTAAAATCCACTATAGTTAGAGTTAACCTGTGACGGTGTGTAAAGGTACACATGAAGTTCACAGAGACTACAGACTAATTAGTGGATTGCTGATAGTAAAATAGTTCTTATCAGAGCTGACTTTTACTATGTTTCTCGAGACGTCGTGTGTAGTTACAAATTACACCGAATAAAGAGACAACGGAATATTAATTTTTAGTTACATTATAATTATTCTTGTTTTATTAAGAAATTTAATTCCGATGTAATAACATGTTATGTAACTTTTCTATGTAGACAAAAATTTACGTATAAATTCAATATGTGTTATTATTAGCTTGAAAACCGTTCCAATTTTACCGGTTTTTGTTAGCACTATTGACAGATAATACCTTCCACGTCAATCGAGTTGGAAAGAAAATTGGCATTGGTTTGGAAGTATAGCGGCGGAGGTTGTTACATATTACAAAGTGAATGGCCTTAAAGTCTACACTGAACATTTAGTTATAATTTTGTCAACACAAAAGAATAGAACTACAGTTGAAAATGAAATTATTATATTTAACTTTCTTAGTTTTACCTGCAGCTTTACTGTGCTTTCAAAGCGGTAAGTTTTTAATTTTATAGACTTATTTTATATGAGAAAGTCCTCAACGTATGTACGTGGCAGTTAAACTTACTTATTTATGAGTGAAAGTATTTATAAAGAAGTTGTCACAATACTTAATTACTCAAGAAGACATCTATAGTAACTTTAATTATGTTAATTTCTAAAATATTTTGGATATATATATAGGTAGTAACCTAAATACCCTAGCTTACTCAATAGTTTAATACTTACTTTATAACATTATGTTATTTTTAATACTAATTATAAATTTAATTTCCTTAATGATTACTTAATTACACTTATTTTTTTAAATTAGGTAAACATCAAAGGGAGTACTATTTTTTTCTAAATTACTTGCAAGTGAATTGATGTACACATTTATTTCAGCTAACAGCATTCTAGCTCACGCTGAAGAAGATGAGCTTGATGATGTGGTAGATATTGAAGGTGAAGACAGCCAGGTTGTTGGGGATGATGCGCTTGGAGATGATGATGACTCTGTAGTGAAATCCTCACAAGATGTAGATACAACCATATTATTCACTAAACCCATAACTAATTATGGTGACAATGCATTTGGTAAGATGATAATGCTTTAATTATTTTATATTCAACACTTGTTTAGACGACTTACAAGTTTACATTTACCACTAACAATTCTTATACATTGTCATTCAATTATTAGACTCTGATATTTCGTAAGATTTTAAACTACAAGTGCAAATTATTACAAAAACAAAAATAAAAAAAAACAGCATAATTCATATTAAATAATATCTACACCCATATAAATTGATGTGAATTTAAGAAACATTTTCAATTGTTTTCTCTCTTTATTTAAAGACAATAGAAAGAGAGATAATTAATACCTAATTTGAGTAAGTGATAATTATGTTATATGTAAATTTTACATTACAAGAGCAACACTGCTTTCACCTCCACCAGCACCATTTCAATTAGAAAAAGCCACAGTAGACAATTGGTTGACAATTCAGACCACAAAACTCAAAAAATTGTATTGATGATTTGACTACTGCAGTGAACCTCTAGTACAAACGTTTTAAGCTTAGTTGAGTTGATTAAATGGAGTGTTAGAAGTTTTAAAAAAAACAATTGTTATTTGCAATTTAAGTGCTGAACTACAACATGTTTGGTGGGAAAGGAAAAGATAGTGAGTGCGGCTGCATATCTGAAGAATAAAAATTTTTCAAAGACATCTGAAGTCCACCAACACATACTGGAGCATGGTGGACAAATTACTCCATATCTCTCTCAGAAATGAAAGGAGGCTTATACCTAGCAGTGGGACATATATGTATAAGCCATAAATTTCCACCTTTTTTACCATGTACCTCTCATCTACCATCAACAAATTTTTCAATTATTAACAGATCTGCAAGCTGGCTACCCAGTTGAATTCCTCGTTGGATTCATCAACAAAGGGAATGAGGACTATATCGTTGAAACAATGGAGGCCTCCTTCAGATACCCCATGGATTATACATATTACATTCAAAACTTTACCAGACTGCCATACAACCGAGAGGTGAAACCTAAACAAGAGGCTACTTTTGCATACATCTTCACACCTAATGAAGCTTTCGCTGGACGGCCTTTTGGATTAAACATTCAACTTAACTACAGAGATGCTAGTGGTAATTATTATCAGGTTGGTACTTAAAAAGGATCTCTTACATAATTATTGACAGTGTACTTTAAGTTTAGATATGTATCTGTGAAATAAAAATTAACTCTGAACAGCTCAATTACTCTTATAGTCTATCAAAGTCCAATGCTGACCATATAAGGAAGACGCTGCTGTCAATTTCCTGGCTTGGCATGGGACGATATGGGGTAGTGGATATTTTTAAACCGCTACAAAAAGGTGATTAACTTAATTGGGTAGTTCTATTGCTTAATAAGTAGGATTTTCCCATGTTTTGTAGATTCATTTCATATACATAAAATGTTTATAGATGAACATCCAAACGTTGAATGATTATTAGCAAGTCATACAAATGCTTTTTCTGTCTGCCCTACTAAGGCATTTTTTCTCTCACTAGTTCACTTTCAACCCAATAATTATAGTCTTTTTACAAATAATTAGTTATTATACGTCTCAGGTTTAAACTAGTCTGTTACAAGTAAGAAGTCCTGTGGATAACATACAAACTTCTTATTTTAAAAGATAAATGACTCGATCATTTAACCAATGACTCTCTGTCAATTATATATATATAGGTTTAACCTGATATCACAAGAAAACATAATATGTCAAAATATGGAAAGAGATGAACAGAGAAATAATTATTGTATACAGAGAAATAAATACTATATCGTCCTTAGTAAAACATTCCATATTATATTTTTTCTATTTTCAACCAACTTCTCAATTATTCGAAGACGTCTGAACCAATTATTAAATAAATTTTTTGTTTCTAAGTTGTTCCCAGGTGGTTCCAATTCAATTAGTTCAAAATCAGATGAGTGGTTTTTAAAAATTCAACAATAAATTATTTATATTGAAGTCGGTCGTAGAAAATTTTTAATTTAACCTCCACTTGTACACTCAGATCAACAAAGAAGGGCAAGTGACACTAAAACTATATATACTGACACACATATGGACTGTAAACCATGTTGGTTGAAATGATTGAATTCAGTCAGTCACAATGGAGAGTAGCCATCTGCCCAGGACAGGATTATAGTGCCCAAGTGTATGCACAAGCACAGTTTCACTCTCTATTCTCTCACTCTCATAGTTCGATGGAACAATAATCCGACACGACCGGAGAGGAGACTTTCTTCTTTTTTTATAGAATAAGGGTGTTTGTCACCCTTATTCTATAAACTAAGCACACAATCCACCTGGGGTGGTAAGTGGTTGCTGTGGCCCATAGACATCTACATCTATCTTCGTTTGCAAATTAAAATGCAGACGCATTGTCAGCCTTGAGGACTAAGACAGAATGCCTCTTTTCCAGTAAAAAGGGTCTCCAGTTCTCTATACTCACCATACGAAACACAGCAGCATTAAGCTGCTATTTTACTCTGATATTCTGTGAGAGCGTGGTTCTTCCCCGGTCGAGCCGACCCATTCGTGCTACAAATACATTATTAATATAGCTGCAACATAACTACCACGTTAAACTTCGTACAGGTGATTTCCGAATCTCGACAACAGAGTCACCTACCGGGTCCAATTGTGAATCTAAACCATTTAGTGATCTACTCAAACACACAAAAAATTTCATCAAAATCAGAAGAGCCATTTTCTTGTTTTTGCGAGACTTACGAAAATTAATTTTTATATATTGATTAATTCAATAAGTAATTCATTTTTTTTCAACAGGAGGCTGTGTATAATCAAACCATCAACGTTGTTGAGGTATCAGAAGGCTTGGATGGCGAAACGTTCTTCTTGTATGTGTTCCTTGGTGCTGCCTGTGTTTTGATCTTGGTGCTGGGTCAGCAAGCACTCTCATCGCTTGCCCGCCGCCGATCCCCGCGTGCCGCACCGAAGCCACTTGAAACTGGCACTGCTAACGATGTAGATTATGATTGGTTGCCTAAAGAAGTTGTTAATCAGCTAAGTAAGTACACAAAATTTGCTATACTTTGGTATTATCCTAATTAAAAAAAAAAATTTACCTCATATCTGTCACCTACTGGAGTAGGCAGAAACTACAGATTTCCATTTGGCACAATCTTGACACATCTCTCTTGCTTCTTTTACATCCATATATCTTCGATACACACATATGAATTTGTTAAGGGTACTCTTAACATGACCCACCTTCAAATTATCGCCAATTTGGTCTATAAACTTCCATCTAAAGTTTCCCTTGCAGATTCTGCCACTCACTTCTGCAGCATAAATTTGCTTTGTCACTCTTTCCTCATTCATTCTTTCTACATATCCAAAATGCTGAAGCATTCCTTTCTTAATCCTATAGCGTGGTTGCGGAGCAGGAAGAATTTCAAATTATTGCAATCCATACAAATGTGAACTTTAATAACTTGAGAATAAACTGGTTATCGAATCACAAATACTGTTCAAAATGTCCTAAAACTATCTTAGTTGCAATAGAAATTAAACTTTTTATGATTGGAATTAAGTTCAAAAATGTAAAGCAATAAAAAAATTCTTGCTCTAAGTTACGATATGGCGGCGATCGAAAGACTTTAAAATTAATTTAATTTCCATTTAAAATTAATTTAATTTTAGAAAAGATACAAAATTCAATTAAAATGTAAATTTACAAAGAAGTTAAGTGTGGATGGTGTCAGACTGTGAGATAGTTCCATTGTCTCCACGGCGATCCTTTCCGCAGCGCAAGCATTCCTCATTTGCCCATTGTTCTGTGTAACTGCTATGTCAGCCCGATTCCAGGTTTACGACACGTTAACTTGCTTTAGTCACAACTACTTGCAAACCACACTTCTTTTATCACACAATTTCTCACCCATCATTCAGAGTCAGCCCTAACATACCTTCGTAATGACCTCATTTCTAAAGCATAATACAATTAACAATGAAAAGTAAAAATTTTCTACAGTCTTGTTTATTGTTTTTATATTTAAATATTTTCGATATAATTGTAAGCAGAAAAATTATGGGAAATTTAAAAAATAACAATTTTGTCATTCATTCATTATAGCTCATCCATCACAAAACCACTGCTAAACATAGGGCTATTGCTTAACAGGCTTGATAATTGTAAGTTTTTTTTTTTATATTATTCTAAGCCAGCGGTTAACTACAATCCCACCTGATGGTAAGTGGTGATGTAGCCTAAGATGATCAGGCGCACTGTCTTAACAAAAGCCTATTTACTCTTGCCTTGAAAACACCCAGATTATACTTGGATGGAAACACAGATGCTGGCAACTTATTCCACTGCTTTGCTGTACGCATGATGAACGATGTAGCAAACCGTTTGGTTTGAATGCGTGGTATGTCAACAACGAAAAAGTGGAGACTGGCCGAACGTCTGGTTGTGCGATGGTGAAAGGGAGAGGGAGGAATTAAATTATGCAAGTTTTTTGTTATTATTGTTTATTGAGGTATTACAAGGATGATGTTGCTCGTCTCCTGTTTCAGTTTACCCCTGTTACCCCTTACACCTGTGGGATGATATATGGTAGTGAATTCTATTAAGGCACCATCACATGGCTAATAACTTTGTTTACACCTTTTATTTAATATTCTAATTGGTTTTATTCCAGAAAAATCTCCGAAAACGCCGAAACAATCACCTCGCATGAGGAAAGCAAAGAGATCAGCTGGGGATGATTAATTACTACAATAAGTTAATAATTAGAGAACACCAAACGTTGCCTTGTACAGGCTCTACAACCTGCTGGGTGTGACTGCAATATGATTAAAATAAGAATAGGCTGTTGTAAAAAATTAAAGCCCGTAAGATTTCTTCATTACAAAAAATTTGCAATTGTATTGCCGTCTTCCAGACCTAATCTTATTTTAGTTTTGTTCTGAGTGTACATACTGTGTGGTGTTTAGTTGCTAAGTGTTGTGAGAGTAAATTATGGAACAAATAAAGTGTGGACAGCTTTTTAATAACTTTCGAGATAACGAGAAGACATTATTTAATTAAAATGTTAAATTTTTAATTGGATTTTTTATTTACCTATATTAATTATTGTTTTATGGTTTTGCTATTATACAAAGAACATGACTGTGTCTGTTGGTCCTAACAAGTCGTAGTTTCATAACATGTAGAAGTCTAGAAGGACGTATTTTTTCCAATTATTTTTTTAGGTATGTGCTTCCTATGTGAACAAGGAATACAATATTTTTCTAATTTGGTATCATTATATATTATGTTTTTTCGTTCATGTATTTTTAGGGTTCCGTACCACAAAAGGAAAAAACGGAACCCTTATAGGATCACTTTGTTGTCCGTCTGTCTGTCTGTCTGTCTGTCAAGACCCTTTTTCTCAGGAACGTGTGGAGGTATCAAGCTGAAATTCATATCAAATACTCAAGGCTACTGTACCTTGGAGCTGTGAAAAAATAAAACTTCTAAGCTAACGCAATCAAAATATACAGCCGTTTATGCCGCAAATTTTCGACATTCGCAAGGGAATCAAAACCTACAGGGTACTTCCCGTGAACTCAGAATCTTAAAATTTGGTACGAAGCAACGTATTATAATAGCACAGATAAAAGAAAAATTGCGAAAAGCATAAATTTTTGGTTACATCATATAATAAAAAAATTTTTAGTAATTTTAAACTTACGAGGGTGGATTGAAAACTACTCGGCCTAACACAGATCCATTCAATTCTAAATATCAAATCTACCCACATTATTTAGTTCAGTTCAGATAAGTTCATTGTGTGAAGTTCGAAACGTGTGCGATAATTAGTTGTGATTTTATAAATTTATTAACAAAGTAATCGGACATAATTTCCGCGAATGGAGCAAATCGAGCAGCGTGCCGTCATTAAGTACCTCCATAAGAAGGGGCTATCATCAAAAGCCATCCATGATGACATGGTCAGTACATTAGGCGATTGTGCTCTGTCATATTCATCCGTCAAAAAATGGATAGCAGAATTTAAGCGTGGTAGAGAGAGTGTGAAAGATGAACCCCGCTCTGGAAGGCCTTCGACGTCAACTACTGACGAAAATATTAAAAAAGTACTTGATTTAATAATGGGAGACCGCAGATTAAAAATTAGAGAGATAGCCGAGATTATAGGCATCTCTTATGAACGAACTCAAAACATCATTGTCAACGAGTTGGGTTTCCACAAGGTGTCTGCGAGGTGGGTTCCGCGACTGCTTTCAGTTGAACAAAAAAGGACGCGATTGACTATTTCACGCGACTGTTTGGAGTTATTTGAAGCCGATGCAGATGATTTTTTGAATCGTTTTGTTACTATGGACGAAACATGGGTTCATTACTGTACACCGGAAACAAAACAACAATCAAAACAGTGGAGAAGACCTGGTTCACCACCCCCTAAAAAGGCTAAGTCGATTTTGTCGGCAAATAAGGTGATGGCTTCAGTATTCTGGGACTCGAAAGGTGTGATTATGATTGATTATCTTGAAAGGTGTCAGAATATAAACTCTGATTACTACTGCACCTTACTACGTCGTTTACGAGAGGAAATAAAAGAAAAACGTCGAGGAATGCTCAGAAGAAAAGTCCTGTTTCATCAAGATAACGCCCGTGTTCACACGTCAGTACAGTCAATGGCTGAAATTCACAACTGTGGCTTTGAACTGTTACCGCATCCGCCGTATTCACTTGATCTGGCACCAACAGACTTCTTTCTGTTCCCTAACCTAAAAAAGCACTTGGGAGGTCAAAGATTTTCGACAAACGATGAGGTCAAAGCAGCTGTAGACGCATATTTTGACTCTAAGGAAGAATCATTTTTTTTTAACGGTCTAAATGCTTGGAAGGGGAGGTGGCAAAAGTGTATTGAACTTGATGGTGATTATGTAGAAAAATAAAAATATAACTGATTTAGTATTTGTTTATTTTCTTGGTTAGGCCGAGTACTTTTCAATCCACCCTCGTATATACCTACGGATTTGTTCGGAACCCTCGTTGCGCGAGTCCGACTCGCACTTGGCCGGTTTTTTTTATATCATATCAATTATGAGGTTTTATAGGGTAAAATACTTGAAAGGTTCATTCCTTACGCATGTTTAATTTTGCCATTGTTCCTAAATTTTAAAGTCTAGTGTTCAAGAAATCTGGGGGCACGGCAGTGCCCCCGCCAAGTCGAACAATAAAGCGGCACGACCGTACCATCCTTTTCTCGAAACAGTTCAGGCCATTTTCGACCCCCTATAACTTCGTTGTGGATAAAACTAGAAGCCTGAATTCAGTAACCAAGCATTCATTGTATAAATACGGTATATTTCAAATTTCATTCAATTTGAACCAGTGGTTTAAGAATTATAACTAGTCAAAATTTGTTAATTATGTCACGCACTCTACTGACTGACCGATCATCAAAACTCTAAGGCACTTCTAGCTTCTAGCAGATGTAGTCACAGAATAAATAATGGTACTAACGTAATGTAGTGTAGAAGCTTCAAATTTAGAATACAATTAGTGTTTAGTGTACAAATCAAGGAAAAACTAAAATATCTTGTAATTTCGGTCCACTTTTCTAGATACACCAACTGCATATATAACTTTGTAATCCTATACAATATCCTAAACAATCTAATTTAATATAATATGTATTACTTGTGAGATACATTGTGTTTTCATGCGATGGCGAAGTCAATCTATTTATTTAAAACAAAAGATTTTTAATATTGGTATGGTCATTAAGATGTTGTTAGGTTAGCTAATTACGTAATAACTTAAGACAGAAAAACCCTTAAGTCTTGGTATTACATCATTACATGGATCTCACAACTTTTTACGGTAGAAGAACTGAGTTGCGAGACTTGGTTATTTTTGTAAGTTATGTGTTTGATGGCATCCTCTTTTTGTAAACGTTTCGTGTTTCTTTTCAACCGACTTCAAAAAAGGAGGAGGTTCTCAATTAGACTGTATTTTTTATGATTCTTTATTTGAAGGCTGGTGCTTCTCATGTTGTCCCATATAAATTTGATCAAGATCTTACCAGTAGTTTTTCAGTTATCGTTAATAATGCGTATTTAATTGACTTCGACTATATTGATGCTGTTCTCATTTTATTTATATGGAAGTTGGTAGTACAATTTTTTTAATTTTATAGGATAAGGGTGACAAACGAGCACACAGTCCACCTGATGGTAAGTGGTTGCTGTGGCCTATAGACATCTACATCTATCTTCGATTGCATCTTTGTTGTCACCCGCGAGGACTAAGATGGAATGCCTCTTTGCAAGTTAAAAGGGTCTCCGGTTCTTTACACTCACCATACGAAACACAGCAGCGTTAAGCTGCTATTTTACGCTGGTATTCTGTGAGAGCGCGGTCCTTCCCCGGTCGAGCTGACCCATTTGTGTTACAACCATAATATAGCAGCATGGCTCTACCACGTATAAAATTTTACCACTTCTATATAATTTTAGCCAAAAACAAACTTAGTTAACTTTGATAAACCCTAAATGACTTTCGCTGTTCGGTATGTAGTATATATAACATCTCCCAGGACTAGCAGTGAAATAAATAAAGATTGCTTGTTATGTATTTCATCATCAGAATACCAGCGCTTCACAAATCCACAGCTAAACCTCGGCTTCCACCAAGCGACTGCTGATCATGAGGTCCCTGGTTCGAACCCCGGGTCGGGCCAAAAAATTGGTTATTGGGGTTTTCCGTCAAGAAATTCTCATTAGCTGCCTGAAGTCAGAAGTTAGCGGTGTGTGACCCCCGTGCCTTGAAAAGTACGTAAAGCCGTTGGTCCTGCGCCTGATCTCTGTCCGGTTGTGTCTGTTTAGAGAGTGCACCTGTGCTTGCGCATACATTTGAGCACTATAATCCTGCCCTGCGCCGATGGCTAGTCTTCGTTGCGATTGGCCGCAGTGACCGAATTCGGTCTGGAGGACGTTATTCTCGTCAATATTTGTCACAGGGGACAACACATAAGAAGTAAGATGCAATATTTTGCATTGTTATTCTATGAGAGCGTGTTCGTTCGCAGGTTGAACCGACCCATTTGTACTGCAATCATAATATAGCTGCAGCGTTGTTCTAACACGTTAGTCATGCAGACTTTTTGAAGTGAAAACCTTTAGCATCGTTGTGATTTAAAACTCAATGAGACAAAAAAGCGCCACGAAAAGGGACAAATAGAGAATAGGCCTACGAGAGAATGAGACAGAATCTATACGATAATCTCCGGAACTATCAGTCCGATTTGATGAATTCTTTTTTTTGTATATGATAACCAGATTCACGAGGAATAGTATAGGCTATCTAACTACAGGCAGGCAACTTTGGCTACATCTATCAGAGTTTTGTTAAAGAAGTCTGAAGAAAAAGCGCTCCCGAACTGCTTTATCTGCGTGCGCTATCGTAATAGTTAGTGACACGTAAATACTATGTTCTACAAAAATACACTGACAAAAAATATTGAAAATTAAAAAGTGACTTATGAGCGTTATTGTTAGGCATGGCATATTAATCCTCACGGCCGAAAGCTACTTCATTATTAAAACAATTTTATGCAGATAAACTTTGCATGTTATTTGGATGCATAGTTTAAAAAATAATGAAAAATTGAAATAATCCAACACTCGGCTCGGCGCGCGTATAACGCCTAGCCACCCGATGAGAACCGAGAGAAACCAGCAGTGGACGTCTCTATAAGCGGGTGAATCCGCGGGGCACAAAAATCTGTGTTTTCTTAAAATAATGTTCTAAGTTGCATGCCCATGATACACTCATAGACGCGTGTTACATTTTTTTTTTTACTTTGGAGATGTCGTTCTTCTCTCGGTAGAAATTAATTATATTCTGTAGACACAGGGGACTGAGGTGATTGACGTCCCGATGTCAGTGTTAATTAACCCGGAGTACCTTCAGCTTTTTAATTATTAGTTTTGGTCTGATCTACGCAGAATGAACTCACTGCGTCTTGAAGTCTTGCAGTGGGTGGGCTTGGATTTAGTTTTAATTCTATTAATTACAGGATCCCAAGCAGATGCTAGTACCCAGCCTCCCTGTCTATTGAAATTAGGATGTTTTTTAATTTCAATAACCTCACGTATCATCCTTGGCAGGAATCGACGTTCTTTCGCGAGAATTTGTGGCCAATCAAATCTATTGTAATGGTGGAGGCCGTCGAGGATATGATCACAACCTGCAGACTTCTCCGAGCGTAGGTGTTTCACATATAACTGACGTGAACGTGTGAGTTGTTGAAATTTAATCTTCCCCTGGTATTTTAAGCAAACCTCTCTTCAAGATAGTTTACTTACCTCTGGATGAAACATTTTGCGCTTGTAATTTAATTCCTAATATATATTTCCTACTTCTTTGCTAATTTCCTCTTATGTTTCCTTGTTTACATATTTTCCGTATTTTTTTAAGTATCTCGTAAATACTTCATGCTTAGGGCGGGGTATGTAAATTAAAACGTAGATTTTTACAATATTCTTGCATACTTCTTCTCCCCACTTAGCCTGCCCCCTTTTCTATTCTATTTTACCCCTATAATGACGGTAGAACATCTGTGAATCAGAAACACCTGTAACCTGCCGAAATATTAAGTGCTAGTGAAGTTCGGTTAACTATTTGCCTGGTTCCTGTGCCGATTGGTAACGTGCTACCGTTTTGCATACTAGTAAACCTTTATCCTTAATTTACATATATTAAGATAAACATATACGCCTGTTACTGAACCAAATTAAAGGAACGACTCGTATGTATCACAAAACACTACACAAGAAATTTGAATTTTTGAAATAATTTTAATACTAAATATTTATATGCTATAAAATGTACACAACCACAAACCAATAACAAGTGCTTACACAACGTTTATAAAGTTCTATTTGGCTGAAGGCCTTGTAGCCAATGCAAAAACAAATATAAAAAAAACAGAACACTATTACATTTGAAGTTTCATTTTTATTGTCTTTGACATCTTTCCTTTTCTCGTACACGCTATTTGCGCTGCACGTGTATCTATAAATTTTGCCAGTAAATTAAAAGAAAATGGACAAGCCCAACGTTTATGCTCGTGTAGTCAAGGTTTTAGGCCGTACTGGTTCCCAGGGTCAATGTACCCAGGTCAAAGTTGAGATCGTTGGAGAGAACAGTCGCCAGATCATCAGGAACGTGAAAGGACCAGTTCGCGAAGATGATGTTCTAACCCTTCTGGAATCTGAGCGTGAAGCCAGAAGATTAAGATAAATGGTAATAAGTTTTTGATATTTGCTACGAAAGTAGTGCTTTCTTTTAGAGATAAAAACAAGGTTATTCACTTTCTTTTCTTTGTATTCAATAACTTAGCAATATTTAATTTTATTGAAACTGCTGAATTGAACTTAAAACTAGCGACAATTGTCAATCAACACAAAATTTGCATATTATTTTGTAGTTCTGGGGAATCATCTTTATTGGTGCTCTTGTTTAATCTAGATTTTGTTTTCCGAACCTATTTTGTCTTGACGTTCATGAGAGGCTTATAGTTTAAAATTAAAAATGTTGTATATCCGACTTCAATATAAATTATAAAGAATAACTCAAAAACTACTGGTCAGATCAAATTCATATGGGACCACATGTGAAGCACCAGCTTTCAAACAAAAAAATCATCATAATTGGTTCACCCAGTAAAAAGTTATGAGGTAACACACATAAAAACACAGCCAAATTGAATACCGTCTCCTTTTTTAAGTCTGCAGAAAAAAGCTCCAAATTAACTCAATAAAAAGTTTTGTCTAAATCTGAAATTTGTAAATTCGACTTGACTTGATTCTATATACGGCATGAAAAAGCTCCCGTACAGTTTGTAGTTGTAGTATAAATTCAGATTGTGAGATTGTTTTTGAAATATAAGAAGCCATTTTATTCTAAAGAGTGGTTACTAATAATGTTTTCTTTTTATTTTCAGGTGGAAGAAAATTCATAGGTTTAAGGCTCTATTTCATGATCCAAATAATGTTTTTCTAATGTTAAAACCGTCAAAGATGACCATTTTACTGTGAACGGCTAAGAATAAACTATTAACTACCTATTTTGTTTTTATTTATTGCTGTAGAATAGCATTTTAACGGGAAGTAAATTTAAACATATTCTCATATATGCTATTTGGTGACATGCCCTTACCACATTTTGTTCTGTTGGTGTCCTTGGAGTCAATTAGTTTATTCCTGGAAAAAATCTATAGCAACTGGTAGATACAAACTTAATTAAAAATAATCTTAATTGACATTGATAATGTAAATAATATGGGAACACTAGAAAATGATGTCACCACAGTTACAATAATACAAATAAATGTCTCACCTGCATGCTTTTATATATTAGAATATTGTTATCTGACCACATTTTAGTGTATGCTATGTATGTATCAAAAACAGTAAATTCAAATATAAAGTAATTTATTAATGATAGGTGATGGTCAACTACCCAATATTGTAACAGCCCATCTGTAATTTGAAATTCAATAAAATTAAGTTTTTAAGCTTTTATCTTTTTAAGTTGAAGCTTATTTTTGCTTTCTGGTAAAAGTATAATTGTCACAATACAGTCAGTGGCTTCAAGTATTGCTACTATTGTCTTTTAAACTTAAACTTCTATATCCTAATAAAACACCTGTATTTGCTTGAGGCCATCCACTGAACTGTGGCATGCAAAATGATAATTATTTTACCAAAAATGAGAGTAAGTTTTAAGACTTCAATTGCAAATATTTTTGTATATGCTGATTATAGGAATAACTTATTTTGAAGTGTTAATTATTTTATTATAACTTTAAACTAAGAATTTTCTTTAGTGCAAATTAGCATGTAGCAGCTATATTGTATTGTATTGTAGTGGTGCTATCATCGAAAGCGAACACACTGAAGCCTAAATCGCGCTATCAGAGTTCCGAAATAACATACAGAGCGTTGGCTGCTCCCCGGGTCTATTTGGTCGGCAGGAGATCTCCCTCTTTTCTTCCACAACTAAATTGCTGACCAACTGACGTGATTTGAACACACATAACACACAACATGCATCTTTCGGAAACCTCAACTTCAAACTTTCATCGTCCTCAAATACCTCAACCATTCGCTCCCGAGCAGATATTGTCTGTAGTTTTCAGATCCTGCAAGCCAAATAAGGAACAATGCTTCCTGTTCCTTCAAGCTACGCTCTGCGTTAGTGTTCAGCAAGGCTCTGAGTCTTACTGCTCACCTTTGCTTCACGGCACTCTCACAGATTGCCTTCTTCTCGACTCACCTCAGACTACAGGACTATCTCTGGCACTTGCACATTTGTTGACAACTAGACAGTACTAACGATCTGAGCAAGAGTGTGATGTGGCGGCGCTGTCGTCGCGAAACAGCGAAGCCTAAATCGCGGTATCAAAGTTTTCAAGTTACCACTATATTATATACTAGCTGTGCCCGCGACTTCGTTCGCATGTAATCTTTTTCTCCAATTCTTTTATATTTTCAAACCGAGTATATATAATGATATGTTTATTATAATCAAGCAGATTATTTTATGCCTACCTGAACGTTAGCTTCGTGAAAAAGGCTAAAATAGATCAAATTTTTTACTTTTAATTTTGGATGACTTGACGGCTAGGATTAGCCATTTTATGATAATATCCACATTTTAAGAAAACGTAATGCCAGCTATCTACTACCATTTCTGGTTTTTGAATAATAAAATCTTAATAAATACAAAACAAAGAGTCAAAAAGGGGATATTAATATGCAATTTAATTTAATAGTTTTATTTATTTAATCACGGTTTTGTTAGAACTTCAAAAGTAAAAAAAATGTGAAATAAAAATATATGCAGTTAACAAAGGACCTCTTCATAAACAACGTTCACAGTTTTGTTTTGTGGTGCTAAAATAAACAAATTAGTAGGATCGCTGATACTTTGTGTTTCGTGCAATAAAGAATATCTATCTAACTGTCTTACATTTATTTTTATTTATTTATTTACACTTTATTGCACCTTAATTAAAGGATTACAAAGGGCGGACTTAATGCCTTTAGGCATTCTCTCCCAGTCAACCCGGGACGTGTGGAAATTAGGTGATAGGTGACAAAATAAAATGAACAATAGAGTAAATCAAGGAAAAAAAAATACTGATAAACTTAAAAATAAACTAATATTATATATATAAATACAATAAACTTATATACTATAAAATATAATACAGACAATATATTATATTTACATACAAATATATAGGTACATAAATATATACATATTATAAATACAAATAGATATATAACATAAACCTATAAATAGAATAACAACAAAGGTAACCAAATTGACCATACTAACTATCATTAAAGTGCTTGTGAACCAATCTTTTAAAGGCAGTCTTATTAGATGTATTTCTGACGTCATCGGGCAAGGAGTTCCAGAGCAGTGCAGCCTGAATGGTGAAGGATTTACCAACAAAATTAGTAAAATGACATACATCCTTGAACACTCACATACACACACTCACACACAAACACACACACAACGCGTGCGGACAGACAGTGCCGATGTAAGAGTAGATCATTCAAAATTGTCGATTGTTTGAATGGGGATGTCAGGAAGTTGACTACAGATTTATAATGTAAAGTCATAAAAAGTACTCGATGTTGCAAAAACATCGATGTTTCTAACCGATGCATCGAAATATATCGATGCACAGTCTCGATGCATCACATCGAAAAAAAACATCGATGTATTTTCAAAGTGGACACCCCTACCGTAATCCGTAAGATGATGTAATGAAAGTAGGGATGTGAAAAAATAATCGATTTTCATATTAATCGATTATTTTTTTCTTATAGTCGATTTTTCGATGACGATTTTTTTTATAATAAAAATCGATTTTTAATAAATCGATTTTTATGTAAATTACACGTTTCAATCGATTTTTGTAATCAGAGTCATCTGTGCGATGGATGTAAAAACGTGAAGTAAGTTCAATAACATGAATAAGTCAATCAAAAGACAGCGCCACCTTTATGTATCTCTATGTATATAAGCCGACCTTTTAGGCTCCCTTTTTGCGTCCAACTCGACTCTTGATGACGGGGGGAAAACACCGCCGACCATCCCGCGGTGTGAGTGCTCCATGCCGGATGTGCTGTTCTCACAGCGCTCGGTTCGCAAAGCACTGCTCTCCCTGGACATCCAGAAGTCGAGTGGGCCTGACGGAATCCCCCCAATTGTGCTGAGGACGTGTGCTCCGGAGTTGGCACCGGTCCTAACGCGTCTTTTCCGGTACTCCTACTCCCAAGGCGTAGTCCCGAATTCATGGAAGACAGCTTTTGTCCACCCGATCCCTAAAAAAGGCGACCGCTCAGACCCGTCCAACTATAGGCCTATCGCGATCACCTCCTTGTTCTCCAAAATAATGGAATCCATTATTAACTGCCAGCTCATCCGGTACCTTGAGGATCACCAGCTGATTAGTGACCGCCAATACGGTTTTCGTCGGTGTCGATCAGCTGGTGATCTTCTTGTCTACCTGACCCATAGATGGGCGGAGGCAGTAGAGTCCAAGGGGGAGGCGTTGGCCGTTAGTCTGGACATTGCGAAGGCCTTTGATCGGGTTTGGCACAAAGCGCTTCTTTCAAAGCTGCCTTCCTATGGGCTTCCCGAGAAATTGTGCAATTGGATCACCAGCTTTCTTGCAGATCGGAGCATCAAGGTCGTTGTAGACGGTGCATGTTCTGACTACAAGCCTATTAACGCTGGTGTTCCACAAGGCTGTGTGCTATCACCAACGCTGTTTCTTCTGCATATCAATGATATGTTGCTAACTGGTAACATTCATTGCTATGCGGATGACAGCACTGGTGATGCTCTATACACCGGCCGGGCCAATATTTCTCGGGAAAACGTCGCCGAGTACCGGAACAAACTTGTGTCTGAAGTCGAGTCTTTGCTGGACAAAGTCTCGGATTGGGGGCGACTAAATCTAGTCCAGTTTAATCCTCAGAAGACACAAGTTTGCGCGTTTACCGCTAAAAAGAACCCCTTTGTCGTATCTCCTCAGTTTCAAGGCACTCCCCTTCTTGCCTCAGCCAGTATCGGTATCCTCGGAGTCGACATATCGAGTGACGTGCAGTTTCGTGGTCACTTGGAAGAGAAGGCCAAATTGGCCTCTAAAAAGCTTGGCGTGCTCAGCAGAGCGGGACAGTATTTCATGCCGGCACACCGCCTGCAACTTTACA